ATATATATATATATATATATATATATATATATATATATATATATATATATATATATATTAGGATAAAAAAATTCTAGTTATATTGTAGAATATTTTTTCTCATTAAGATATTATAGAAAATCATCTTGGCATGATAATTGAGGTCAGTCTTATTGTTTTTTATGTGAGCATAAGAGAATTCATGTTAGAAAATTCATCCGACTTCAATCTTTGTATAGGTTGATCATGGAGCATGTACATGAGTTTATCTCAAATATTCATTCTCTTACATTAAGTCTTATGTTGGGGCTCTCGACAAAACCATTGTGATACCTAAGTCAAGAAGTTTCGACGTGGTTCAAAGTATAAGAGGCGAAGGTCTAATCTAGAGCACAATATTGACATCCCCCTCTCGTAATCGGGTTTTTGATGTTTTACCATTAGAAAAAATTCTTTAAATATACAAAAATATTCGAGGGATTTTTTTTGTTATGATCGCTCGTCGTGGATTTGTGACACACGGGACACTCCTTTAGATTGAATATTTCCTATCTATTTTCCTTCGTTAATCACTCCCCAGTGATGTGGTGCTTAAAATACATAGAAAATGTGCTCCCTACTCACATATGTCAATCGAATTTGATGCTCGAGCCAATGAAAGTTTTGATGCCTTCAACAACGGACGTGCTTTGGGCGATTTACTTACACCTTCAGCAACGGAAGATGAAGGCTTCGATACGAGTGAAGGAGAACGCACGAATGGGGCTCGTAGTGTTTGAGCAGAAGTTGATCCTGCTTTGACCAAGCAAGCAGACTTGGAAGAAGTGGCGGAGTCAAAGCACGGGTCAAAAGTGGTCGCAGGTGTTGACCGACACTCCCCTCACAAACACCATTCTCGCATTAAACAATGGGAGATGCATTATATGAGACTAATTAACTATAGGAAGCTGTCTCCATCGCCATGAACGCACGTGTGGCTCCTCGAAAAGGTGTTCAACCCAATCTTAGAGTTTGACCGGACACTGCACTGAGAAGTCTGATGCATGGTCGATGCCAAACAAAGTGGGTCAAAGCTTCAATGTGAAAGCTTGGTTTCGGTACTGCCTTCAAACACATTTGCGTCATCTGCAGCAACTTGTGATATCGGCTACTATTTACTCCCTCGCAACCTTTTCTCCTGAAACTTACGTTCTTCGGTTGATCAAAGAGCTGAGCTTAGATGCGTTTCTTGCTTTGAGATGACTATCATCTTTTGATCATTACATTTCCGAACTTTGGTAGTTTCAAACCACTAATAAAAGCTAAATCTATTTAATGCTATTTCACGAGTTATCCGTAAGTCTTTGACTTTTCTCTTCCTTCAGATTAAGTGCATGTAGACAGTCCTTTTTCCGAGAGACAACGACAATAACCGGCACCACCAACGCCCAAACAAAAAGTACAGAGGAGGAACTGTTTGGCTTTTGATCTCTCGTCCCTGCAGCTGCGCACAGCTTGACCCGAACATGCATTCATTCCCCTATGCAACATTACAGCCAACCGTACAGACATAAGAAGTCAATGCTATCTTCCTTCTCATGAAGGTCAAATACAGTAACTTCGACCAGTTGGCCTCGAGAGAGAACATCTCGGCCGAGTTATTGGATCCAAAAAGCTACCGCATCTCACTCTTTCTTATTGTCATCAAATCTTGAGCATTCATGTAACACAAGAAGCTTTCTACTACGAAGAAGCTTAAGATTAGACTCTTTAATGGACTCGATAGTTACACAGCTTTTACTTGAAGCCTTCACTCGACTGCAGAAGCTCGTCCAACACCTTGTCGTCCAAGCACTCCAGTTCGATCACCTGCTTCCCGGTGGTGGCGCTCCTGCGAGGTCGGCCCGTGGCCGACGAGGAGGAGGAGGAGGAGGTTGCGCCGCCGCGATAATGGACGACCTCGTCGGGGAAGTTGAGCACGGCGAGGGCGCCCCTCATCTGGAAGGCGGCCTTGTCGTAGGCACGGGCGGCCTCCTCGGCGGTGCCGAAGGTGCCGAGCCAGACGCGGGCGCCGTGCCGACTGGGGTCACGGATCTCCGCCGCATACTTCCCCCACGGCCGGCGTCGGACGCCGCGGTACTTGGCCTCGTCGCCCTCCTTCCGCTCTCCGCCTCCTCCCATGCGGGTGGGCAGCTCACAGTGGAAGGCGGCTTTGGGTTGCCAGGGGGCCTTAGACTTGGAGGGAAGCGGTGGGTCCAGAGGAAGAATGTCGGATCCTCTCCAACTGCGGCAGCATCGAATCGAAATCAGACGGTCCAAATTCTACGACATGCAAATCGACGGTTGTAGGAGGGGGGATGGATTCGATTCTGGGTTCGATGCATGTAGATCAGTCGGAGCGATGGCTTCGGAAGGGTCGTATTCCTTCTCATTTAAAAGTGCCACAAAAGGGAGGCGTGTGTAATTTAATCCTCGGATTTGACCCTCGTGCTCTTCTTCAACATCGTGGTGGGTATTGGCTCTGCAAAAATTGGATCAGATCAAAGTTGGCTTACAAAAGGCTAATAATAGTCTTCGATGTCACTGTGAACATTAAAGATGGTTTCAACGTCAAAAGAAGAAGGCGTTTGTATCGATTCCTCACTTACATGCGTTGTACATGCACAGTGGTTGATGGAACTTGTGGCGTCCAGGCGCCAATCTGTTCTTTTCGTGTCTCGCTAAGAAACCAGTGGCTGGAAAGAGAATTGATGCTCCAGGTTTGTTGGCTCTCTTGTTCCAGGAGTTGAGCTCTGTACCGTTGTGAACGCGACCAGGTGGGTGGGATCGAAGTGGATTGGTTGGCCTTTGTCGATCAGAGGGGAGACGGAAAGCTCGCAGCCGCCCCACCAATGAGCTCACACGTTGACGGATTCATGCTCCATTTCCCCTGATGAAGCTTGCAACAAAAGAAGAAGAAAAGAAGGCATTCTTATCTTGCCAAATCAAGTGTATAAATTGGATATGGCTAAAAGCTCATATGCTCGATCATGGACAAGGATTCGAGCAGCCCATGGGGTGAGAGAACGTACCTGGTGAGCAGCATCTTCTCTGGTCCCTGGTAAGAGAATATTAAGACATCTGGTGAATTAGATTACCTGGTCCCATCAAACAAGAACCACAGTCACCGGTATGCAAAACCATATCCATGAACTGAACAATGGACAAAGGATGGATTACGTCTACTACAAAGAAAAAGGGCATTATCTGATTCATCTATGAGTGGCATGAAAGAATTCTGTTCATTATGCTCTGAATATACCAATTCTTTCACGTGTATGTAGAGAGATATATTTCTACGATGAAAATACCATGAGATCCACAAGACTCAGATTACTGGATCAACTCATATATGTGAAGGTTGAGATGGCGCGTTGTCATCTGTCTCTCTGTCGTGATGGGTGCTGATACTCCCAGGAGCCACTAGATGTTCGTCCCTGTAGGCTGCAGCAGATGGATTTCTCTGATGATTGATTGCTGTAAAATCATCACAAGATAGGAATACTGGCGTCGACACAACTTTGCAAAGTGAGTCCTTAATAGCTCAGCAGATCTGCAACCTCTGTCAAAAAATTTGCATATTGTGACAATTAGAATCGGGAATGCTAATACAAGCATCCTCTTTAGTTCAGAAAAAGAAATACCTTCACATGGCAGACAAATCTAAAAGTTTACTCAAACATGTACAACGTAATCTAATTAGCACAAACACTATCAGGTTTCGATGACATTTAGCCTTTAGAATTGCATGCTTAAGCTAATCCGTTTCGCTTCAAACCAGGAGTTTACCATGCATCAACAATTCATTGTTGGAATTCCAGAACAAGTGTATAGTTGCATTTCACATAAGAAGACAGTATGCATCATGTTCTTTGCCAAGGAAGAAATTGAAATATATAGAACTCTGGCAGAAGCAAGATGAATTTTTTTTTGTTGTTGCAGTACTGAAACCGACTCATATTTCTGTGTCATGTGAAACTGAACTCAGATGTATAGTCCAAACCAAACAAAAGGAAGGACATCACACAGGATTTTGATTAGGATTCGTAGAGGAGCAGAACCCACTACCTGCTCTGATCTCATGATGAGGATTTTGATTAGATTCTAGTAATCTCAAAAGCTTAAGTTGCTCGAAAGGAGTCCATTATTTGTATAAGCCTTATCAGCTAATATCTGTCCATGCAGGGGCTAATTATATATTACCCTCTATAATTAGTTACATTTAACATCATGCTCCTTATATTTTCAAAAGTTATATTGAGATATCTATACTTATGAAAATGAAACATTTGACTCATTGCTCTAACAAAACCTCTCTCTCTCTCTCTTGATTTTTAACCCTGCATAAGGATCTCAATGTTTCACTTTTGTAAGTATAACAATCCCAAAGTAACTTTTGAAAGTGTAGAGACCGGAATACTAAGGGTAGCTAATTGCAGGGGGTAATATATAATTAGCCCTTCTATGCAGATTAGGATAGAGATACCAAGGATGTCAAGTTATGGAACCAGTATACCTATAAAGAATTCTCTGGAGATATTACCAATGCAAAATGTAGCTTTAATATTCACTCTTATCCACCAAGTTATACTTTATTAAGCATCACAAGCTCTACAGTTGAATAGTATTCCTTTCTACCACTCTTATGCTTGACAGAGGGGAGCATGCAAGTTATTCCAAATGAAACTGTACCAATAAGACAGCAATAAAAGAGGACACATCCTAAAACACTTTACAAAGAACATTTGAAAATTTTATTAAACCTTGAAGCAAATCATTCCCCTCAACCTAGTGATAGAAGGTTCTCAATTGAAAGCATCGGTGAAAAGAGCCAAGTAGAGTGGGAACATCTTGATCGACCAAAGAGGGACAATTTCTATAGAATCAAATACACATTATCATGGCTTATCTATAGTTTTATGATATGATCTCAAAGGTTTGCTGGAAATCTAAAATGTATGCTGTAGCACTAAAGGAGGTGCTAGAATCTAAGTCACCATGTGGTGTTGGGTAGCCATTCGTAAATGAATCTGTACTAATAAGATATAGCAATAAACGAGGACACATCCTAAAACACTTTACAAAAAAACATTTGAAAAATTATTTAACCTAGATGCATATCATTCCCCTCGACCTAGTTATACAGGGTTTTCAATTGAAAGCATAGGCGAAAAGTGCCAAGTGGAGTGGGAACATCTTGATCGAGCAAAGAGGGACAATTTCTATAGAATCAAATACACATTATCATGGCTTATCTATGGTTTTATTATATGATCTCAAACGTTTGCTGGAAACCTAAAATGCATGCTGAAGTACCAAAGGAAGTGCTAGAATCTAAGTCACCATTTGTTGTTTGGTAGTCATTCATAAATGAGCCTATCGTAAACTTGTACCGGCACAACATTACTCTGCTTGCCTACTACCAGTATAATGTTGGACCAAGATAATAAGGCCTATAAACCCCACAAAACAGCTTGGATTTCAGTGAAGCATGTCGAAGAAGAAATCAGTACCTATAGCAAGGCTCTGATACATCTCAGCAGAACACGATATGGCCAATTACACATCCGTGATATCCTTTCAACTAAAAGCATCTGTACACTTGATTGCAGCCAATTCGTCTCCATGTAGTTTGCTCCCAGATTATCATAGATATATCCAACCACAAGAGTGCTTTTCTTGATTCTCTCGGCCGCTATTTCCAAACAAAGATTAGCCTGATCAACCATTTCATCGAAGAGAAGTGACATCCCCATCATCGTTGAGATATATGTATCCCATTTATCATGGCGTGATTCATCCCCTCCCCAGCAAACATATAGCAGTCTCAAAGTCGTTCACTGTACAGTGATGCTATTATCTCCATGTATGCAACCCTTGAAGAGGCGCCACTTCCCATGAACACCGCGAGATATATCCCTTGTCACATTAAAGAACGGACGGCAACCCATTGCCACTCACTCACCGGCGCCTCCCGATTGGATGCTCCAAAATCGAAACCCTAAAACCCAGACAAACCGCCCGAGTTTTGACCAAAGCCTCAACCCGCCTGTCCGTCACCGGCTTGGTTGGAGAGCTGCAGCATAAGTCATCTGTCCGTCATCAGATCCGCGGCCGGAACCTTCGGTCAAGGTAGCTGTCGTTGAACCTGGCGAGCCCAATGGAGTCCCCGATGCCGAAGGCCAGGGGTTCACCCGTGGACGTCGCACCCGACGGAAACGAGTCAACAACTAGGTTAGCCAAGCAAGCCGCTTGTCACCGGGATCGAGGCATGCCTCCTAGCTCCAGACGGCGCCTCCGCAGCGCGCGAGGAGGGGAAAGGAGACGAGACGCCCATAGTTTTACGAACCCATAAAAATGAGTGCATTCTACGCGAAAAAGACAAAAAAAGTATGTCAGAAGTGGGATTTGAACCCACGCCCTCTTTCGAAGACCAGAACTTGAGTCTGGCGCCTTAGACCACTCGGCCATCCTGACGTTGTTGTTGTAATGACGTAATTCATCCCCTCTACAATAAATATATAGCAGTCTTAAAGTCGAAAAAGACAAAAAAAAATGTCAGAAGTGGGATTTGAACCCACGCCCTCTTTCGAAGACCAGAACTTGAGTCTGGCGCCTTAGACCACTCGGCCATCCTGACGAAGTTGTAATGGTTACTTACTTTAATATTTTAATGATTAATAACCAAGGGTTAATTAATTAATTGATTAATTTTTGATAGTAAAATAATAAATATGACCTTATCCAATCTAGCATGGACCCCACATGCTTTTATCAAAAGACATCATTTTCTCTTTATTACTAATTAGCACACACTTAAGTTTATAATTAATTAAACCCTGATATCCAATTTATGACTAATTATATTAATTTCAAACGGATGGAAGGATATCCAAATCTGATTTAAATGAAAGAAATAGTATTAAGTATACTGTAAGATTTGACGTAAGGAATTAATTATTTGACCTTCGTATTTGATATTCAATATTTATGGGTGCCATTACGTAAAATTAATACTTTCCTAATTATAAGCAATGGTTCTCAATAAATATCGAGTGGAGAGGTGGCTTTCCTCCGTAGCCTCCTCGTCTCTCATCGGGGTTTGGCCTCTCTCCACTGCGTCCTTCGTCGTTCTTGGATCGAATTGTCGATTCGGGAGGTTGTTCTCAAATCATTCTTTTGAATTTTGCGTTCTCATGGATGATCTTCGTGGTTTGGCCAGTAGCTGTCATCTTTTTTTAGCTCACGCAGTGATTAGGGTTTTTGTGGGGTTGTTGCGTTCGATCTTTGGTTCGTGTTTGTGAACGGAATCTGGATTTGCTCCTCCGATTATTGTCTTCTGTGACCTGATTCATAAGCTTTTGTGTTGGGATTTAAGGCTCCGTTCACGTCTTGGCCTTTCGGTTCTGAAGTTTGGGGCGCAATTACTTGCCTCTGCCGGTTGTTTTTCTGATAATTCTTGGCTGATTCATATAATTATCTTCAAAATAGCTTGATATTTTGATAAATTCTTGTATTTGACATCATGTGGATCATTTGATGGGCTTGTATTCTGATAATTCTTGGCTGCGTGATACTTGCCGGGGGAGGTTGGCAATGTTTAGAACTGTGCTTCTATTATATTGCTTTAACTTTTGAGATTGAAATTTTCTCCCTGCTCTAGTCAATACTAGAATGACATGAGAATTTTGCTTCTGCTTTCGATTTTTTGCTTCCTATATATCTTTTCATACGAGGTGCTAGATCAATTTAGTTATCTCTAGTGCATTGCGATCTAATTACTGATTTGTTAACATCGAAAGCCTTTTGTCCCTGAGAAAACATTATATCTTGCTTGATGAAAATGATTCTTAATGTTGTCTGTCTATCTACAATGCTAGGTAATGGCATAGTTCTTCCTCGCTATCTTTGTATATCTTGATATTCTCTCTGCCTAATACTCTTTATATGTGCTTGGTTTTCAGAAATGGCAGACAAAGAGAAAGACTGTCAAGAGAATCATGTTGATGGAAATGACTGGGAAGTTGTTTCTCTTTCAGCATCCATGATGGCTTCTGCAGCTGATCAAATGGGATTCGATCCATCAAATGTGAGTAAAGATAAGGAGTTCAAAAAAAGTGAACCAGAATCTTCTCCTTTAATCATGTCAAGTCACTTCGTATTTCCACCAATGGAGTACGAGACTGTTAAACTAAAAGATAGTAACTGTGAATTTGGCAATAGAGTCATGAATGAAGATGTAATCCCCGGTGATGAAAAGGGTAACACCACCAATAAGACTCTTGAAGAAAGCTTTAAGACTAAATTGGATGGCAGCCTACATGGGATTCAGTTTTCTGAGAAAGACAAGGATCCTTCGTTTGGTGGCATAGACATTGGAGAAGGGAAGGCAACACAAGAAATGAGCTTGGTTTTGGAAGAAGAGATGCTGTTAAATTCTCATGGAATTAATGATGATCATGCTGAAACTGGTATGAGTGGATCGTTTCCTTGTAATGAGCAAGCTGATGATTCCAAGCCTATTAATCGTTCTTACCAATCTCCAGATTCTCCTCTAAGTTATCCAAATGCATCAAGTCAGATAGCAGAAAATAAAAATGACAGGTTTAGCCTTCCATGTGGAGCATGGTGGAAGAGGCATGCAATAACTTTATATAATCATGCAAAGGAAGCAAATACGATGTGGTCTGTAATAGTGGTAGCTGCATTAATGGGCCTTGCAATTCTAGGGCAACGGAAACAACAAGAAAAACCTCAGCTTCAGCAACTTCAATTGCGTCTAAGCACCAATGGTCAGGTGTGTAGACTTGAATATGAAGAATATACTGGACAATGTTGTCTTGACTTCTATTTTGCTCTTACATTATTCTTCTGTACTTGGGAAATTTTATCCACCTGCTGGTATTGTGAGCTTGCACTTTAACCATAAAGGTTGTTTTTCTACTCTAGTTTAAGATTTAAGGCAATTGTTCTCACGCCCAAACATACGTTGATAGGAATTTGACACGAAAATAAGAGTTTGCTATTAGTATTACAGTCGGTTGAGAAACTTGTGGAAAATTTCACTGGGTCAAGACTGAATCAACAATGATGACAGAAGGCTTGGAGGGGGAAGATGAGGAGGGTGTCTTTACAATATGTTATTTATTTAGATTGTTGTTTTACATTTTTTTTTCTTTTCAACATTCTTTTTAATTAATCTATGCATTCATGATATGAGTCACTGTGATTGATAATTACACACAAAAGGATGAGTAGCTGCAATTGCCATACATGCATTAGCATAAAGAAGTTTTGTATTGCCATCTCCATGATTAGTTGGACTCAGTTTCCAGAAATTTAGGTTAGTGTGACTGTGGTTTTGACAAATATTTTCACTTTTATGCAGTCCTGTTAAATTTTCTTTCTGTCCATGCATATCTCCGAGTACTTAATAGAAATCAGTTACTTGTGCAGCTATATGAACTACCAAATAAAAGTATGAATATCCAAACTGCTATGGTTTTCCCATATTATATCACTGTGTTTTAAAATTTGTCATAACAAAGCTTTATCAATGCCTTTTTCTTCTATACTTCTGCAGTCAACTTGCTTTGAGTGTTAGAAATAAGGTGATTGATTTTATTTAAGAAGCTGTGGTAAACAATATTTTGTTTAGTATGTGTTGCTGATGTAAGCACTTGTAATTATTCCTTACAGTGTTATATATTATTGTCATTTATTTTTTTCTCACACATTTTTTCTCTATTTCTCTAATATTTTTTTCTTTATATGTAGTGTATATTTCTCCTTTGCTACCAATTAATGTCGATTATGTAAATTCATTAATGCTTAATGTCCTCAAAGAAATTCATATGCATCTAATTTCATTTTATCTGATTACTCCTTATGATGTACATGCATCTTGTTATTCTATCAATTATCTATGTGCACATCTGGTTGTATTGTTTATTCTATAAATTATTTGCTTATGATTCTCCTTTGTAGATATGAAATGTTTAAAAAATATGGAAGCTGTAGCCTATTCGTGCTTTTTAATTTATTAGGTCTTGTTTGTGCAAATGGCGTGTATGTGGTACCTTTTTCCACAAAAACTATCTAAGTGTTATATTTTAACATTTAAGTTATGAAGAAATCTCCCTTCTTTTGTTTGTTAATTTTTCCTATCTATTTAAAAATTTCATTGTAGAGAAGTAAAAAAAAACGTGTTTGTTATTGTGCAGTTCTCTGTTCAAATCTGATTGATATGCTATCAGTTTATGATGTAGTTTTAATCTGAATCGGTCCCATAATGAAATTGGTAGAGATTCATGTTCATATACGATGTACAAAGTTTTACATTGATAGCTCCTTGATGTAACCCTACTTTTTCTTGGCTTGGGATCAGATGGTGGAAAAGTTCAATAACAAATGTGCGTGAACAGAGTTCAATAAATGCTTGACATTAGTCGAGCTAACTAATCCACTTGATATGAATCAAAATATAAAACAAATGTTCATGGGCAGAGTAAATTTCATGCCTGATTTCTGATTCACTCTGGATTCACTTATATTTGTAGGATGGTACTTTCAGAAAACTAATGTGCTCATCAATCATTAACAATCTTTTTTCTCTGGCAGTGCATAAACCTGATGCTGGGACCAATGAACAAGCTTGAAAGCATTTTAGCAACTGATCATCAACATGGTTCTGCACTTGGATCTGCTGCACGCAATGTTGATGGCAACCGTTGACAATGATGATGGTGACGACAAATATAGGTGGTGTGGTGTGCATGTAACCGGCAGAATACAACTGTTTGCATACTGTAGCTATTACATACTACTGGCTTTAGACATGGTATGCTAGTGAACTTTGATAGCATAAAATTAAACTTCTGAACTTGTAAATAATATGTCATGTAAATATCTAAGTTCTTGTTATTATAAGCTCATAAATGCCTGCTTTTCATCATGCTAAAGTAATGTTCTTTTTTCTATTCCAGCAAATTGCTCCAGTCAAGTTAAGTGGTTGATGATAGTTGTAGTTTAGATTGCAGGTTTTGATGCTATGAGAAGTTATTCTTCTTGTCTTATGTTTTATAATGAGATGATGAGATGCTCTTCATGCATGCTGTGACTGGAGCTCTTTGTTGTCTCCTTGACAGTAGTTGATGTGTTATTGAAATATTTAGTTTTCACTCATTTCAGATTGTGCCTTTTATGTCCACCTCATAACAGGAATCTCTGGGTTTAAGCAATCCATGGTCTCGCAGCTGATTCTCCAAACTTGATACAGTTTTCCAGAGTACAAGGGATTGATATCCCTAACATTTTTTCCTTATTTTGTTTCTTTTTTCTCTGGAATACTTAAAGGAAGGCAGCCTTGTAGTCGTTCTAGCACTCCCTCGCATGATATTTTAGGCATACATATCTAAGGAAATGTTCACAACAAAAGAATAAGGAGAAAAATGGTGCTCCAAGGTAACTTCGATCTTAAAACTGCACTTTTTTTGAAATGCCACTGGGTTAGTTATTCCTTCGTATATAATACTTGCACCTAATGCCCCTCTGTCATTAGCAGGCACAAAAGGTTTGATGAAAGGAAGGACAACCCTGAGCAGAGGAAGGACAAATTGCATAAACTTTCAATTTCTCGCAGCAAAACAAAGGCTACGTTTTGTATAATGTGCTTTACATTAAATTCCTCAGGCCAATCTTCTCGGAATGTAGTATACTCATGGTATCATTTTCATCTCTGGTTATCTGCTTTCTCAGATTTTTATACAACTTGATTAGGGCTTGTTTTTCCCAAAGTGGTTTCAGCTAAAGTTTCTGAGGTGGATTCTGCAATATATTTGTGTGTTTTATACAAATATGAACAAGAAAATGATAAAAGTCTCAGCTTAAACACACAAGGAATATATGCCTCATCCGGTGGTTGTTCTTTTGGTGTCACTGCCTCTATTTTAGATGTTGCTGCGGATGTGGTAAGCTACTCTTCTGTGACCTTCAAAAGTTCTTCACTACTATAAGGTCGAGTTGAAGACTTGCCATCTGCAGAGACAGACTAACACTGCTATTTTGTGCCGCAGTGAAGGTTCTAACAAACACCAAAATAAGAGAGCAGGACATGAGGAGGAAGATCAAAAGTATGTTGATACTCCATCTTCTTCTTATATTAAAATGCATATCTGAGCAATTTTATAAGCATAAAGTTTTGCTTTTATCTGACTGATTACAAAGACAAAAGACTGATATGATTGCTTTAGACTAATCATTCTAAGAATCACATGCTCTTTGTAAGTCAAATTATCTTCAGTCTAATTGAAGTGATTGTTGTGACCCGATTGACACAAATTACAATAACTGCTTTAACTGTAAACATTCCTTTTTCTTTTCTTTTTTTCCTTTTTTTTTTTTTTGGCAACCAGCCAGGATCAAGCATTTCCAACTCGTTCCCCTCCAAATCCTCCTATGATTCAGTGTTAGGTCAGAGAGATTGAGATAATTTGATCTCAATCCAAGCAGGTTGGAATGGTCCTGATTGATTCATCTAATGCATAATCTTTATAGAAAGAACTACTTACCAAGATCTAACCTGTTTCAATACCAAATAGTGAATTGGCTGCCAATGGTACATTAAGACACGAAAAAAAGAGCAGAGTAGAACTACAATGCTTTAGACACTGCCAACAAAGACTAAGCTTCCCCGAGTCAGCCTCATGTCACTTATGCCCAATTTTAACCATTGACTATCCATTAAAAGCAAAAACAAACACGAAGTCTATGCCAAGCAGCATCAATGAAAAATAGGCACTTATTGAAAAACTCAAGAAAACAAGTTCACGTTCATCTCATTAGCTACTTACAGAATAAATAATTTTAGAACTCATTGGCTACTTATTATCCACCACATGAGTATTAGGTATTATAAATAATTTTAGAGCTTACGTGGATCAATAGTTGCTTTCCCTTCTTCGTCAGCATATAAAACAGTTCCAACTTCATCAAGTCCGATCTCACGCTCAAGGGTGCTCTAGGAGTCCCTCGACACTTCCTATGACATAAGAACTACCGACTGATAATTGCAGCTTAATTGGAAGCAAACATTATGATTTACAAGAATATTCTTACAACCACAAATTATAGGAACATATGTTCCTTTCTCTTTCACATGTATCCATGCTCTTGAATTATTACCATAAAATAAGTCAACATTAATCCAGCAAATCTGAAGCTCCCTAATTGTTGGCTGGAACGCGCTCAATGTCTTTACCAATTTATGTGCTACCTGCTAAACAGCAACATGATCGAGAGGCTAACTTTTAAGTACCCAAGTAACAATCTATTGCCAAAGTACTAATGTAAATGCAATTCAAGAACTTGGTAATGTGGCATTACAAGTGAAACAAGTACAAAATGAATCTCTTACACTCCACCAAGTTATTTGAGTTGACATATATTCACGAATACAAAACAAAACCAAGAATAAATATATATGTATCATGTATATATACATATTTTCTATCAAATAAATATTTCTAGATGAATTATATTCTTAGTTAGATTAAGAGTTTTGAGGCAATGTATCCCTAATAACTTAAGGCGGATGATTGGATGTGTCCATCTTATTTATTATAGTAAATTATTTTTTTATATTTTTTTTTTCTAAAGAAAGATATATATTATCCAATCCTAAGAGGTTACATAAGTTCCTGTAGCATGAGATGCCACTTTTGGATTTCATTTGTAACTCTTAGTTTGAGTTATGAAATATATATATATGTGTGTGTGTATAATATGCATATATATACACACATAATGTTGCTTCCCTTTATGATGGCATGGTCCATTAGAACCACACTGATACCACAGGAATGTGGCTATCTGGAGCTTCATCTCAAGAAAGATGATGTTAAAGAAAACCATAATTAATTGGAAGGAAGAGGAGGAGACCTTTTCGGGCGTGGATCTTCAGCGGCACAGTGGAGCCGATCTGCTTCAGACCGCTCCACGGCGGGGGGCGACCGATGCCGAATCCGGGGATCGATCGATGGAGGTGAGACGCACGTGGGCTTTTGGGTTGATTCCTGACAAGGGGAGGGGAAGAGATGAGGAGCGCGATCGTCTTCGAGTGGGAAGAGAAGCATTAGCAACAGCAGCGGCGGTGGAAGAGGGCGGGGGAAGAGCGTCGCGATTCCCATGTCGACCAGATCAATGGCTTAGCGCTTTGGTTTATACCGGCAAGTGTTGAGGAATGTTGTTAGAGACAACGGCCGTTGTGATTGATGTAAAGGACGAATTGATCAGTTATTTTCTGTTACATTATTTTTAGCCCTACAATACCGTCAAACAAATTAATTAAAACAAATAAAAACAAATTGCATTATATGATTATTGAAGTATACGTTTCATAAAATCAACATTTGAAATCTTGATTATATTATAATCAAGTTCTAAGTATCTTCCATTTAGCAAACACAAATAGTTCTCATGTCATTATTTTGAATTTTCCATGAAAGAAATTAATTATGAATTATCATAAAAACCACCAAAAAGCTTGAATAATTAATTAAAGAGGAAAATATTGGAACCAAGTCATGGGAATTGAGAGATTTCAGGAAAAAGAACATAGAACTATGAAAGAAACAGTACTCAAATGTATATATATACACATTTGTATTTCATTCTTGATATAAGAAGTAGCTTCAGCCAGAAGAACAATGTCTTTTGTTATGAGCATCTAAGGACATGGCATGCACAAGTATCATCTTATCTGGTGAAAGGAAAAGAAGCTTTTAAGAGATGAAGGCACCATCTTAGCAGCAGAAGAGCATCCTGCACTCCTCTAATAAGAACCATTACTATGTCAACTTTACAGTTCTAGAAATGTTACACATTTCAAAGGCCAAACATTCTACATTTGGCTCCACCTGCTACCCTACACATCATTTCTGATTATGACATTGCTGTTGCTTTATCTATTACTCAGAATACAGGTGCAAATATACATGAGATCCAGGGAAAACTCTTATTTGAACATGCCTATCTTTTATTTACATTAAGGCAGGTCCGGCTTAAACTCGCCATTTATGCTGAAAAGAAAGACAAGTAGATGGTTACACTCGCCTCGTTATCTGTACAAGGACGCCATCGATCGAGTCAGACTGCAGCTTCTCAAGATGAATACGATGACTGCCCAATGCGCCTTTCTGCAAGACAGAGGAGACATGATTTAGCGCAAAGTTTGACAGCATTTTGTAGAGGATCACCGCCGAGTCAGAGCAGATTTACCTCCTGCAGCAACAAGCTTCTCAACACGGGCAACTATATGTTTTCCATATGTGTACCTCTTCAGTGCATTCAAGTGAACCTTGATGCGTGAAAGAATTAGTTCACGGTTTCGATCATCACATGTCTCAAGGACCTTTTGTACAACATAGTTAGCAAATTGGTCTTTCATCATTGCCTGTGAACCAAATTCAAAAATAAAAATATAACAGAAAAGGTGATTAATCACCATAGAAAACACCACTATGAACCAGCATGAATGAGCTAAAATAATTTAATGCTTATAATCCATTGTCCATACTGCACATTCATAATGAAAGGTTATTGTTAGTAGCCCACAACAATTATGCTGCCCAAGACCAAGCCAAAGCCATCAAGGGAAGATGGAGCTATTTACTACCATCATCAAACATGCTTTATGTGTTACAAAAACACAAGACAGGGACAAATTTAGATAATAGCTACGTGGATAAGGATTTCTACTATTTCTATAACAAAAAAAGGTGAATTTAGAGCTCCAAGTGATACTGAAATGTATCGGTAATTTGAGTTATACCAAGAAGTTGACCTACGCTGCACACAGCAGCCACCCTCGAAATGCAAGAAATTTGTTCAGATTTTACTAGTTGCTGGGTCGTAGAAGGTTGTGAATCAGTAATGTAAGCAGACCACAATGCAGAATGCAAGTTGGAACTGGAGTTGGTTAGGCAAATTGATGGTTGCATGTCTAAAAGGACACAACAAACAGGACCAACATCGGGTTCAATACAAGCAGGAAGCTACAGAGCGTAAAGGTCTTGCTTCTATACAGTCAAAAAAACCTACTATATCTACTTGGTCCGACAAAAAAAAATCTCCACTTTTGATGAAGATACGACAAAAAAAATCCAGTGAATGTCATAGAGGTAGCAAAGTCCAAAAAATATAAACAAAAGCAAGGATCAAATGAATGGATAATTCCGTTGCAAGGGAAAATAATCATGGTGCAACTCACAAAACCAATCATAAATTTGATGCATTAACAATTTCAGACACAGGGAAGCTTGGCTATCAACAAAACCTTCCAATAAAATCCCTTAAGGGCATTAGAGGCTACTTCAATTTCTTATTGTAATGCTTTATTTGCAAATTTCGTCTTTACACCCTTGGTATTGGCTCAAGTGGAGATTTGTCCTATTCAAATGCCATCAAATGATATATCTCTGCTTTTCAAGTAGCAAGCAAGAGGAACTATTAAAAATCGGTTCAGTTAGTACGACTTCCATATAAAGTAGAGAACAAACAGCTCAATTGGAAAGTACACGGTCCCCCATGCATGTTACTGTTCAATGTGAAAGTCTAGGAACAGGATCAACCAATGAATAAGTTATTCAGTCTTTAGGCATAGCAAATCAACAGGTTACATCTCAGCCTTATGCTGAACTTACAACAGTTATGCATGGGTCCTTGATTTGGTTAGGGACCAAGTATTTTTAGGAAAACACCAGAACTGTATTACACAATGACTGAGACTTTGTTACATAAATGTCCATACCATCCTCAGGTCACAAACACTGTGTTTTTACCAGAACCAGACTTGTAACAAGAGAACCAACCAAAATTCTTCCATTTTAATTTTTTACAAATATTTAAATTTTCTCAGGCAATTTGTCAAGTGGATCTGAGAAGCCACCACCTAAATACCTGTAGATGACATTCCCAATCACCACTAACTGGGGGAGGCCTCAACCTATGAATGATAGTTCCATTTTCAGAGTAACCTGTAATCCATCAAACTTCCTGCCAATCTGTCAACCCTGTACATAGATCTAGCAGTGTAAAACCTACTTACCGATTGCCAATCAACATACCAATATCTTAACAAAGACCTGCCTGAAAGTGGTCAGCAGCAGAAACATCTCAATTTTAAAAATCTTTTCTTTGTATTCTTTAATGCTTTCTCACTTCTTTGTGATCCTTTCTATTCCCCCCAGTTTCTTATATCCTTTCTTTTTCTTCCTTCTTTTTGGACCATTACACAAGACCAGCTATCTTATGCAGAATGGAAGATTTTTAAGTATTGATTTTATGTTGGCCGATACATAGCAAACCATTCGGCTGGCAAGACGTGACACTAGGAGGTCTCCTTCACAGAAGAACCAGTCTTTCTAACAGAAATGGACAGCCACTTTGACAGCCCAAAACATTTTAAATTCCTTCAACCAGGGAAACATTTAAAGACCCCCTTGACTTCCACAAGCTTGTGAATCTCGCTATTCTGCCTCACCTTGCCACCACCTTGCATCATTGCTCATAGAGATTAGATTGCTTCACTTCACCATTGCCTCACCTCCAAGTCCTCGTTTAGTCTCAAGCCTCTTGAGAGAAGGCTCCGTGCCACAGCTTGTGACATTCCTCGAGCCCTCATATCTTGTGAAGTCGCTCATCGCTGCCCATCGACCGCCGCCTAGTATGCTTCCACCTCCCCTTCTCCTCTTCCTCTTCTGCCTCCTCCCTCCTCTTCCTCCACCACCATATCCTTTTCTTCCTTTCTCTTCCTCCTTCCTCTTCCTCTTGCTTCCTCTTCTTCATCCATCGCCTCCTCTTCTTCCTTCCTCCTTCCTCCTTCCTCCTTCCTCCTTCCTCCCTCTTCATCCATCACCTCCTCTTCTTCCTAGAACCGGTTTGATCAGGGACACAAAACGACAATCCTTGGCCACCACAACTACCATCCTCCTCCAAAGTATCCACTATCCACTAAAATAGAATCATTGAATTTTTTTCACTATAGTGTTGTCATATGGTTCCATCAATTCATATAAGAAAATAAACCAACTAATAATTCTAAAACCTAAAAGACACCACCTTGATTCATTAGATCTTGTGAATCAAATAATTAAGAAGTATGAATAAATATACCTGTAAGGGTTCATTTTCATCAGTTGAACCAAGCATTTCATTTATTAAAAGTTGACGCTCTTCAGCGGTCCCATAGGTCAAGCATTTCTCAACAACATTTGAAGCATATTTTTGTTGGCTCATCTTTACTATCTGTCCAGTGAGCTGACATATAATATCAGAACGTTCTTCTTGTTTACCATGCTGCAAAACATGCTAATAAAAACAAGCAGGGAAACCAAGTTAGTTCACAATGAATTATATAAATCTTAATAAAGAATAGAATATGGACAATAAGCATAAAAAAGAACCATTGATAGTACCTTAAACAGAGGTAAAAAATAACAAGCATAACATGAAATAGACAGAATAGCAAAATTATGGGAAGTTTATGCAATTAGTTGATTGTTGCACGAGTGATAGGTCTCAAGTTCAAGGTCCGCATATGAGCATCATGTATATCATTTAATGTAATATTTCTTTTAAAAAATAGCAATGACATCATAACAAAACAATACAAGTATCAGAGACTAATACAACTATTTGAAGCATATGTAATGACAACAAAAACAAGATATAAAGGTCATCTTGTTTCTATTATTTATTCCTTCCAAGTTTTTTCACCTTTAGCTCCTTGTCAAATCAACAAGTACAAGTTGTTTAAAGAAGCAAAATATAAGTCTTGTTAATCTAGAATAAGCATGACAAAACAAAGCAGTGGAAGTAAAAGCATTATGTGACTCTTTGGAAGAAACAGTGTAAATTTGATAACCAGCCAATCGATCACTTTGCAAGGCATAGTATGATATTCTAAAACATATCATTGATCTTTTGGATCTCCATATCCAAATCGTAACAATTCATACAGCAAGGACCTACAGTGTCCCTGTGGCAATTCAATCAAATTAAAATCCATGAAATCAAGACAGGTTTAAGATGGTGGGGCCTAAACATCACACTAAGGTTCTTTTGCAATCTAAGTGACCAAGATTCAAATAACCAAACAAACTCTTTCCATGTTGGCAGTCCTTCACACCTGATGTTGGCAGGAGACTTGTGCAGTGGGCCACCCATAGTACTTTAGTCAAAACATTCTTAATTTCAGTAAATTACATGGCTTCTTAACCTATCAAAAATAAAGTCTCTAGTATGTTCCATTTGCAAGAAAAATATCTGGTATCAAGCATCAAAACAAGATCCAAATGATATTTTCCTAATGAAAGTAAGCAGCCCTTTATATAAAATCTTTCTCATCACACCTCTTTTTCATCATATCTAACGTATTTCATCTTTTACAAATCAAGGTTTAGAAAGTAACAGTAGGCTATCGTCTTGTTTGGGAAAAAACAAATCTGCTAACTTTTCCAAGATGGAAGTATCAAACATCCTGTAAGGGGCGATAGTGATTGGACTAACAGAATCTAGTTCCTTTAACTTAAAGTTACGTCTCAAGTGTGGATTGTGAATATAAAGTTATGATATGGTGCTTTTAATGTTATCAGAACAACACTATGCCTCCCCACTTAAATGTGCTATTTCAATACAAAACACAATGTTTCAAGGGCAATTTTAAAAACTATCATCTTGGCTCTATCAACAAATATCTCAAGATCAAATTTAAATTATCAATTTTTTATCTAAAAAAAACCATATCTTGAAGCAAAAAAGCATTATTTTGAAATAACAAAAAACTTCTTATTACAACCTTACTGCAACTCATGAATTTAAACAGAGTGGTAGACACAAAAACCACATTCCACCACAGGAACGTAATGCACATAAAGAATAGGTAAACCAATTAAGTTAACCGATAAAATAACCTACTTGAATAACATAATTCCCATATTGATCTTGTGCCAAAGTACAAACAGATTGCCTGATTTCATCCATCATAATGCTCTGAGTTTTTGGATCATCACAATGCTCCAGCACTCTCTGCCATATAAAAGATGTAATATACCAGCGATAGAACAAGAGAAACATATTCGAGCAAAAGACCAGACAGTATCACTTGTGTAATCGGTCTTATATGCAATAAAAAAAGTGGATTTTGTACTACCTGTATAACTCGACAACCATATGGGTGGGTGGACAGTGCCACGACATGCCCATAGAATGATTCAATTATGAATTTAATTTTTTCCTGTGGGACACATTCAATACATTTCTGGATTACATGGTTGCCGTTCTGATCCCGAACACATTTCATTATTTGTCCATCAAGCTCCAACACCATCTCAGTTTGCTCATTTACATCAACCACTTCTAATGCCTGCCAAAAGAACATGAGCCAAACTTTCTGAGAACAACATCAAATGCATGAGAAGCCTTATAGCATGTCCAGGGAGAAATCATATAATGAATTTATGTTGCACTATATGATGTGAGTAAGCAAATTTTGAATACAAAATCAGGCATTATGATGAGAAAATCAACATGTAGATAGCAAACTACCAACACTAACATTATATTAGATGTTCAATTCATCATCTTGAAATGCTTCAAAGTTCAATGAAACTTAAGCAAAGATAAAAAGCAATGTTCTTTTTTAGGACTTTTATGCAAGAACTTTCTTTTGTAATCATCTCCATGAAAAAAAACTTTATAACCTTCCAAATATGATTATTAAAAGCTAAACAATTTGCTTAGCTTGTAACATAACTATACTAGGAACTTTAGGTACCAGATAAACTCAAAATTGGACTTCAGAAACTTAAAAACAATTAACTAATGATAATTATGAAAATACATATGAATAACAACAAAATGTACATATCTAAACCCATGACACTGAGACTTCGTAAGAGATTGATTATTCATCTCCATTCCAAACTCATTAAGGAGTCTACTCAGTCCATAATATTGATACATGCAAAAGATAATAGATTTATGCATTCAACAATTAGCTAGGCTGATCAGCTCTTACCCAACCACAAAGAGATTTCTTCATGATAAAATCCCTGTTGATTATAGCCCTAATAGCATTTTAACTTTATATCACAAAAACAAAGTTTCTTACACTAGAATTACAACTCCTTGAGAAACATCATACTCTCCTGCATTCCTCTCACTAACATGCCACTTAAACAATGAGCAGCACTGATTTTTTTTTTTTAACTTAGCACTTTGTCTCACAATTACAAGATCTGTTGCAGAGGTTTAAATTTCTTGCTCATAGTCATGTTAGGCATCAAATCAATAATAATTCTTAATGTGCTAGTTGGGACACTACAGATTTTTGTTGTTGTTGAATAATTTATAATGTGCCTCAAATTTTGTTATTAGTCTCTTGTTCCATTAGTCTAAGATTACAGATATTGCAATTCAGTAAGTCTTGATATTCACAAATTTTATGATAGTTGGAACTCCTATAATTCAAATTGTCTACAACTATTGGCCATTAGAACTTAAATCGTTTAAGAGTTTTCTATTTTAATAAATAGCAACATTAGCCCCTAATTTCAGCTCAGAGTGACAATGAAAATCTTCAATTTTTTTCGTGTTCATATTCGTCCTCAACTTTGCAAAGTGCACTGTTTGTCCCTTGCACGTTAAAGGCTGCCTAGTTGGTAAAACAAACCATCTGCAAGCATTAAAAGTTTAAAACTACTATTTAGTTGCCTGTTGACATGACCATATTTGCCACATCAATTACCATCCCCAAATTACGGCTTTGAATGGGTATGGAAGAAGAAGTATAAGAGAAAGAGGAACAACAAAGGCAAGGAAAAGACGAAAAAGAGGAGAAGAGAAGAAAAAGACTGGAAGGATAAGAAGGAAGAGCAAGAAGTGCAGGCGAAGGAGGTGAGGATGATGGTGGAGGGAGAGGCAAGCAAGGTAGAGGGGTAAAAGATGGTGCACAAAGAGACGAAAGAGGTGGTAAAGGTGGAGGTAGAGAAGGTTAGGAGGAGGTGGAGGAGGGGGTGGAAGCAAAGAGAGAAAGAAGAGATGAGTCTTCTCTTAGGGACTGATGCCATAAAAATGGACACATCAACAGAAGACCAAATAAAATAACTTCTATTGATTGCAGATGGTGGTTTGTGGCAATCCAGCGGCCTTGGTGGACCAAAGGAAAATGGTGTCTTATCATTCTAAGATTGAGGGACCAATATGAGGAGAAACAAATTAAATACTTGAAGTGCCACCTCGAGCATAGTTTATGGACATTGCTGCAACTAACCCTCATCTTTTCATTGTCTTAAATGTGAGCCTGATAAACAAAATCTCAGAAGTTACAAATTACATTACATTAGCCAATTAATTTGGCAATCCAAATTTATACCAGCAAGGTTCGCTGTACCACAGGCAATACATACCGGTCCGTAGGGCACCAGTACATAGACTACCTTGTATAAGGTGGTAGATGTAACATGACCCCGTATCAAGCGATACGGGGTCTGTACTGGTCGGAATGATCGAAATCCAACCATTATCGACCTATACTGGTCAGTAACAATCAGATTTCAACCGATACTGATCAAGGGCCGAGATTGCCCTGTTTTAAACGGTCAATTTGATCGTTTGAACCAAAGGGAAGGATTTTTAAACCCTTCCTCCCCCCTCTTTCAACCCAATTCACTCCCTTAAACTCTCTCACTCACATTTTCACTCTCTTAAACTCAACAAAGTTGTGATTTGTGAATTGGATCAAATTTGAGAGACTAATTTTGGAAGGATTAACACTTAGGTTAGAGGAAAATGACTCTAATAAAGAGGTATGCATTCTCTTTTTAAATTTTTATTGATATACAATATCTAGTGGTTGTGAAAGTAATTGGTCAACGTTCGCATTGATTCACATGAAGGTCCACAACAAATTATCATATAAACTATTGGATAAACTAGTATATATCTACTACAACATGCGGCTAAAGTTATGATGTGCCAAGTTAAACAAGGAGCCAAAGGAACCAGAGATTAATCCCATCGACCTCTAACATTGCAATGAAGATTCACAATCGATGTTAGAGTGGGTCGAAGCAACAGAGAACAAGGAGGATCCTCTACTTGATGAGTTTAGAGATCCTCCACGTCCTTCACATTTTATCATCGAGACAATAGAAGAAGAAGCACATCCCCAGCAGGAGGAAAATCCCCCTCGATCAGAATATGACGGAAGGAGCCAAACAATATCGAGTCAGACTACTCGAGGACCTAAAGATCTCTAATCATCATAGTCGTCCGCCCAGCATGCAAAGGCAAAGGGGAAGATAGTAGCATCAGTTGTACCTTTGGAAAGAATCAAGTCGAACGACAAGCCACCTCAATCACATTCAGTAACCCACTCGATTTGGAGACATGGCAACAACGTGGACAATAGTGTCTCGATTGTTGACAGCAGCGACGTCAGAAGTCACTGGTCTCATCTACACAGTTTGAGGGTGGTGTATTGACCAAGGAGCAGTATTTTACGTATGCCACCCAGGATTCAGATCATGGAATTCAACAAGGTACAGATACTACACGACATAGATACAAAGCGAAGCTATCGTATTATGGAGAATCTTACGACCAACAATACGATGATAGCTGGTCATTCTTCTCTGAGCAACAATACAGTGATCGATCTTATGATACGTAGTAACAAATCAGTGGCGAAAGTAGAAGTTCTGACATTCTCCATGCTTCGCATCAATACATGTCACAATCGTATTAGCCTCAAGAGCTACCTCAAACACGTGTGGTTCACGGCAATCAAACTATAATCATCACCACATTGATGCACCAATGTCATACGGTGTATCAGTATATTATGTCGTGAGATCAATTTCAAGATTAGGTCCAACAAACATATCATATTGATATATAGATACATAGGATCAAGGACCTTGATCCATCGCCCATGGAGTCCTATCGTTCTTTTTGGTGATAGAACAAAGTGTACATCGATTGATTACTTAATTCACTTGAATCTTAAAGATTAAGTTGTTTAAAAAATAATCTAACAATTCAAATTATTTCTTTATAGATAATTCAATATTAATGGAAGGACAATCTGAAACGTACCATAAAGCTATACCTCAATACTTGAAAACGACATGTCACTATTCTTTCCTAATTTAGATTATTTTTGATAAAATTATATAAAATTTATATTTATTTTCAACTTAAAAACTCTAATCTAACTTTTTTCGATTTTTTTGGAGCTATTGTTAGCAATTTTTCTGTGTCGTCGATACATGCCGCTATACCGACACACAATATGTCAGTACAAATTCATACGTATCATACCAACAATCGACCAATACAGCAATACAAACCGATAAGGCGAAGTATGTATCTTAGTACTATCATCAGATCCAAATTATCTAAAGAAAGAAAGATTAATATGCAAAACACAAAAAATAAACAAAAACCAAATGTAAATATCCCTTGAATGAAAGGTAAGAGATTACTCATATTCAGACCTTCTGGATTACTCTACAACCATACATTTGAAGACTGAGAGGCAAAACATGGCCCTTAAGTTGGCTTGCAAGTTGCGTTCTCTGAATTTCTGTACCATGCTCGAAGAACTGCAATTAAAGTGATGATAAACATTAAAAAATTTCATGAATAGAATTCAAGGGTTGATTTGTTAGCATAGAGTTCATACTTTCTGGATGACATAATTCCCAAAAACATCAGTCATCAAAGAATGAGCTTTCGGAAGTATCTCAGGAAAGATCTTACTTTTCTCTTCAACTGAAGCAGTCTCGAGTTTTTGTTGTATAAAACGACTTCCGAATTGGTCCGCACTGGAAAAGGAAATGAGAACATCATTCAGTCTTAAGTTATCTATAAATAAAATCATAATGTAAAAAATTGATCAATCCAAACTGATACAACAAATCAGTTCTTTGGTCGGCCACAGATTGCCTCAAAAAATTGGCATGCATGATTTTGCAAAATATAGTACATGATATCATGCATAATCTACGTATCAAATAATAGCATGCATATTATAACATAAAACAAACAGGAAGCAACAAACATGAGATTTGCTGCTATATAACTAACGAAAGATGTAATGGACAGATACATGATAGATAGAATGAATTATGGTACATATAAAACCATAAAATTGTGGCATAAAATACAATCAGAAACAAGCACATAGATAAATTTGAAATTTTATGTAGTAATCCCATTATCAAGTTTCAAACAATTATAAACATATAAATTATTAGCATCAAACTTGGAATTTTCAACAAAATGATACACAATAATTTAAATTTCTGAGGTAAATAGTGATAAACTTTGCAGCCACCAATCCTCCAATCTGTAATGTCCAATCTGACCAATACAATCAGATGCAATTTTTGTTAAATTATCCCATATCCGATCCTGAGTTCTAAAACCTTGCATAAAATCTGAAAGACATGAATCTGTAAGGAATCAACAAAAGGCTACCTGAATTCAACAACATGCCCTACAATATCTGAGAGCTCGAAGGATCGTGTTTTGTTGTTCTTAAATTCTTCCAATAAAGATGACATGTAACCTTCTTTCATGGTACCATTTTCTGTGATCCATGATCCAATGGACCCTCCAGGTGCACTTCTCATACTGGAAGGGATGCGAGACAGCCGCTCATTAAGCCTTACAGGGCTTCCAGAACCCAAATTAGGAGAGTGAATGGTAGTAGATGATGGACTTCCTGGATATGGCATACCAATACCAAAAGCATGACTGCTGCTGAAGCCATGATTTAAACCACCAGATTTGCTCAGAAGAGGCATGCTATATTGTAATTTTTGTTGCGCAAGCAAGGCTCCAAGATATGCAGTTTGATACTCGGGCAAATTCATCTGTGAGGAACCAAGATAATTCATTCCTGAATAGTGATCCAAGTTCCCAGGACCACGTACTAACGAATCAGAAGTACTCCTTAAATACTGGGCATACAAGGAGTCCATAATTGGACCCTGGAAACCAGAGCCCACCTGGTTCCCACTTGTGTTCAGATATTGTCCTTCTGCACCAACCATCAATATTCCCAATTGAGTTGGACATAAAAAAATATGCTGTACATGATATATTGATATGTAAACATGTAGACAAGACACATCCAAGTGTAAATTATATACTTAAAAAAATAGCTATGGCCAAATATGTGAAGAAATTCATGAATGCAAATGCACAATATATTAGTATGTAAATATATAGCAGTAGAAAAAGAAGAAAGAAAATGAAGAAAAGAAAGGATGATTACCTTCATCTAACCTATTGTTTACCATTGTTTGTAGTCCATGACCACCAGTATAAGATTTTGAATTTGAGCCACTGAAGTCAATGTTCGGCACATCAGCATTTGGATATAAACTTTTAGAAATTGTTGTACCCACAGAAGGTACTTTCTTGTAAACATTAGTATAGGAGGGTTGCTTCGGTAAGTTCATTTGCCCATCAGAAGTTAATTCAGATAAGCCAATCTCTGTTAAACTACTGGTTCTTTTAGATGGATCACTGTACCCAACAACATTAGTGGAATTTTTTAACAACGGTGACATGGGCTTATCGATGACCTTTTGCTGCAGATATTGTCGGTTATCACCATCATAAAGCAATTCGGTTTGATTACGAAATTGCTCATCAAGCTGAGCTGGTACGTGGCACTCTCCATCTAATGATATTTTTCCAGATAAGTTAAAGTCGGATAAAGCAGACACAAGATCACCATAGTCAGCCATATGAGAGGAAACACCACCTAAGCCATTTGATCTATCACTATCACTATTTCTCACTCCCACAGGTGGAAGGCAGGGGCTTGGAGATCTCCGAATTAATTGAGGATCAGGGGTTGTACTTCTAGAAAGGGAGGAAGCCAATGCAGATGCAAAGGAATGAGAAATTGAGGCCCCAAGGCTCTGAACCCTAGTAAGACTGGAGGAAGTTGTTCCAGATTGAATGCCACCTAAACCTTCTGAACCACTCTGAAGCTGCATCAGCGGTGAATCTGAAGCTCTTATCGGATCAACATTATCATATGTATTACGGCTAACTGGACGAGAAATATGCCCAATGGCAGAAGACGGGCGGCTGAATTCCTCCTGCAAATTAAATTTGGTCTAGATGAGCCCAAGACATGAATATATTATCAAGCAGAATACTAACATCAGATAACTAAAAAAGATATAAGCAGAGAACTTCAAGGAAAGATAGAAAACCAAATCACAAGAAGCAATTACACAGACCTTGTAGAATTAATGAGTCTAAATCATCATGAGAGCCCATATGCTTTCAATTCAAACATTCAAGTGAGACAAACAAAATCATTTATTACATGCATAAATTCAGGATGTGACGAACAAGGTTATTGCTTTTCCTAAGAGCTCTTGTGCTCAGATTAAAATCATGGACAGGAAGGTAGCTTATAGATACTCAAGAGTTCCTGGAAAGTTTGATTAGAATATCCAATAATATAACTTCTACTGGAGAAATCTGCATGCCCATCCATGACAGGAAAAAACTTCTATTGATCTATTCTCAAACTTATAGGTGACACCATATAGAAACCACGATGAAGGATAATCTTTGCTGGAACAGTTATAATTTGCAAATAAGTTGCAAGCCTAATTATCACAAATTGAATGTAAAAAAGATTAGTTTCCTGGTTTAGAAAACACATTAGTTTAATAGAACTGTGCAACAGAAAAGGATAAAGGAACATAAAAAGTTACATCTACAGATTGTATATTTGGCTCAGCTTATGAAAGGGATTATTGCAGCTTTTAAAGTAAACTATGCCACTTTTGCAAAATTTATGCTTTTTGGTAACACATTTTTAAAAGGGGCTTCCCGTGGAAGCAAAAATTTTAGATGTATCTTATTGGAAAATTTATGTTGAAATGTAACACAATTTTTAAGTGACTTCCATCACCACCACCAACACAAGCTGTCATAACAACAACTATCACTATCTTGTTGCCACCATCACCACCACTCCCGTCACAACCATCAGCCAATAATGCCACCACCATTACTGCTATAGTCACCACCAAGGTAATCACTGACACCACAATAGCATCCTTTCTCAAGCAAAGCAACTTTTAGTCTAGCTAGCTGTTAATGTGTTTGAATCAAAATATGCAATAGTGTAACAGAGACATGACAATCTACTTCCTTGTGTTCATGATCACAAAGTCCACGTGTTCCGAAAGGAATATCCAGTTGCGTACTCCAACAGTATACTAAACTTCTAATATCATGATCAAAATTCACCAGTGAAGGAAGTGAAGGAGCAATAATACAAGATATTAAAGCAACATATAAATTTGTGAATGTTAAACAACCTTTAAGGAAAACAAGTGAAGGCTGGTTTATAATCACAAGGATCTGGGGAAAAAGCAGATAAATATAATTTTTTGCAGCTAGATAGCTGGATCTTGTCATTACACCAAACCTCCAAAGCTTGCCTAAACTGAATGTGCTAAAGCTCAAATTCCAAATATAGTATAAGGTAGAATGTAACAATAACTAGTAGAAGTAACCTTAAGTAAATATTACAACATCATCATACGTTAGAGGAAGATACTCATAGCCTTGTGGTACAAAATAATCTTGAACATGTTACAGGAAAGAAGCAAGGTTAATTATGAGTTCAAGAATAAAGCTGATGTTTGTAACAGCTAAAAAAGGAAGATGAATTTAAGTGTCTTGATAATGTAGCAAAGTATTGCAATTGAAAAGACATCACTAGCAAAAAAAGTGAACAAAGACATTTTATTGGAAACTAATCAAAATGGGGAGAAATATCTAGCCCACAAACTCCCATCTAAAGATGTATGCATGTAGTAATGTATTATGTTTTTTGTAAGTGTAGTTATGCATTCTGTTAAAAGCTACAGTCATAATCAACTGTTCCATCAACTATACATTATCATATCTATTACGGCTAACAGGATGAGAAATATGCCCAATGGCAGAAGATGGGCGCCTGAGATCCTCCTGCAAATTAAATTTGGTCTAGATGAGCCTAAGACATGAATATATTTTCAAGCAGAATACTAACATCAGATAACTATAAAATATATAAGCAGAGAACTTCGAGGAAAGATAGAAAACCAAATCACAAGAAGCAATTAGACAGAGCTTGCAGAATTAATGACTCTAAATCATCATGAGAGCCCATATACTATCGATTCAAACATTTACGTGAGACAAACAAAATCATTTATCACGTGCTTAAATTCAGGATTATATATAAGATTATTCCTAACAGCTCTTGTGCTCAGCTTAAAATCATGACCAAGATGGTAGCTTATAGATACTCAAGAAGTTCATAGAAAGTTCAATAATAATCCCCAATAATAAAACTTCCAATGGCAGGAAAATCTGCATGCCCATCCATGACAGGAAAAACTTGTGTTGATCTATTCTCAAACTTACAGGTGACACCATATAGAAACCATGACGAAGGATAATCCTTGCAGGAACAGTTACAATTTGCAAATAAGTTGTAAGCCTAATTATCACAAATTGAATGTACAAAAATTACAGGCCGCTACATTCATGAAAAATATACCACATAAAACTAATGCTTCCTAATTTATCAAACACATCAGTTTAATAGAACTGTGCAACATAAAAGGATAAAGGAACAAAACATGTTACATCAAATTTTATTCATCTAGTCAAATTATGTTTCATCAAGTCAAATTTTACTCAACTAATCATACAACATCCTACACCATTGCTCTCAGTCACAATCAGAGGGTGACTGATGAAAATCTCTTGGAGAAATAATTTTTAAACCGCTTAATATAAGAAGTTAGATAAGTTAAATGACTAGTAAATTACCATTGAAACGTAGATTTATTCCGACTATGCTTTAAAAGGCAATTTGGTAAACTTGGAAACTCAGAAGAAAAAGGGAAAGGCTTAGCTACCTGCAGTACATCTGCAAAACTCTTTCTCCTCATGCCAAGCCCAACATCTGGCAGCCCGATGAGCCCATCGGTACTCTCAATCCATTCTCCTGACTGTTGCTGAGACAGATTCGGCGGCAGTACCCCTCTGCTGGCCTCCAGCATGTCCCGTTCGCCATCATGAATCAGGAAACCTGGTTGCAATGAGAAAAGGGAGCTGCTCTGGCCATCGCCATCCATGGATTCTTTCTTCCTCCGCCTATCACCAATCCCTCCGAATGAAGATGTCCCACCATGAAACCTCTGTTGTGCACGCCAGTCCTCCTTTGATATAGCCGGTGGAGGCATCCTCGGATTTAGATTCTCGTTTGAATAATAATACGATAAATAAGCTGGATGCGACCTCAAATCCTCTTCAGATAGCAAGCCCCTGGAATCCTGACCACCGAGGTGGCAGGCGGTCTCAGCGAAGACATCCTGCCCAAACAAGCTCCCAAAGGCATTTCTTGATCCCTCCACAGTGGGAGGCGCGCTACCACTACGGAAGCTCAGCTCATCCCGGTCGAGATCAAAGGCAGCTCTACTTTGATGTTGCTCCCGGACCAAAGCCTCGATATCCCTCTCGAAATCATCATCAAAACTCCCACCCATTGGGGTTCCAGTAGCCATCTTCATGGAGCTCTACCTCACCTTCAACAAAACCCTAATACCGCAGCCATCATCGGATCATACCGACAAGATGATTCAAACAAGAAAAAAGTTCTAGGGGAAGCCGCAAACAACAGATCGGAGGCCAAAGCTCTCACCTTTGCGACAGTTCCCTCATCCAATCCGCCAGAACGGCGCCTGGAAATCCCACCTCCGATCGAAAGATGGATCCTTTACCAATAGGATGAGCTGGCTTCGAACCGAATTAGGACAAAAAGCTTGGCTTTATCCATTTCGGATCGCCGCGAGGAAGAGAGAGAGAGAGAGAGAGAGAGGATCTAGGGTTTCAAAAAAAGGAAAAACAACACGATCAGTCTTAAGATTGAGGGGGGACGCATAAAAGAGGAAAGGAGAGAGAATAACGGCTCCTTGGGAACGATCGAGATGGCGTAGCGGACGCTTCGAACCGTCGGATCGGGAATGCAGGGCTGGTGATTGGCCAGCGGCGTGTCGTTCGTGGTTTCCAGTGGCCGTCTTCCATCGCGGACACGTACCATTCGGTGATGCATCAGCCGTTCGTTTCGCGAGTCGAACGATCTAAACCGTACATTTTGTGGGCTTTTCACTTGTGTCAGTTAATCTTTGGCCCAATCGGGCCCAAAACAAAGAGCACGTCCGGGGTGGTGGGTCGGCGACAACGGTCCCCGACCCGCTGCCAACTTACAATCCTTACCTGCCTTGCTATTGGACATCGATACGGGTCCCACCAAAATTAGAAGTCTCCTATTGGAAAGGGTAACTGACAGGGTAAGTTAAAATATGAAATGAATGCATAGCATTAACTGTTCCTATATTCAAAGTAAGGTTCAAAAGATTAATCATGAATTAATTCCTCTTAAAAGTTTTGTTTTTCGCCATTTATTGCTAAACTTCTTACAGAGAGTCTATTTTTTGATAATGCCAAAACACTCATTAATAGTATATGTCCTAAATACAAGCTTAACTGATAAATACTTTGATAGATCTTTTCATGGCTTATACTTTATAAACACATAATAATATGATTATATTTCTATAAATGGAGAAAAGTTGAGACCAACAAAATTAACAAAGGGAGATGTTCGTGAGAAACAAATGAATTTGCCTATTAAATATTAGAACATTTGATAAGTTGATAATAACCTCTCTACCATGTAATCAAAACTGATGAACAGTGAGTGTTGATAATAATAAGCAGATTACTATTTCTTCATGCAATGGAGGATAAGCTTCACTTCCATTCTAAACAATTGCAACAGCAGTCTTTTTTGGTACGTCTCTTTCATCACTTGACATTTTCCGAAGTGGTACAGTAAGTTCTGTCAGCACTTGCCTCTCTCACTCTCCAACATAACCATCCGACGAAGACTGTATGTTTTGTTGGTGATGTAATGCACAAGAAGTGTCGGTGAGTTGAAACACTGGAAGTTGTGCAAACTCAGAACTCGTATCTTTCTGTACTGTGTTCGAGATCAACATTTGTTTAGATCATCAAGAATATTACTAAAATATAAGACAGAATGATATATTTGTTTGGAGAGACTTGGGCACAATTATTTGTTTGGTGCACAAGTGAATGAGTGAGTAGAACATTATGGAGATATATTGTGGTGGTGTCATTGTTTAACTTCCTTATATTATATATTACCTATATTTTTCAGATAAGTTGATGAGCTATCATTTGTCCTATTCGTCCTTATCGGCATGAATTGTCAGATTTAAAGATAAAACTTGACTTCTATAATGCAAAATTGTCCACTTTATGACTTTATCTTTTTAAAGAATTAGACCCCAAAGAAATCTCGAAACACTGAGAGAAAACTTATTATGAGGGATTGATTTTCTTTTTTTTTCAATGATCACACCTTTTTTCTTTGGATCATAAGTTATCTCTTCTGATTGATCTTTTCCTAAGGATTTTGATTGATTACATAAATATTCAAATATTAAACTTTGAAGGTCTCAACAAAAGAAGACTTAGTCATGCCGAATTGACCAACTAGCTTCTAAGTCCAAACCAACGTTAATTGAACATAGGTTAGAGAGTGAGGATCATTGTACATATGTGTTAATATTGATAGTATAAATCTTGTTGAGATATCGAAGTTAATTAGTGTATTGTTATATAATTAATATGTCTTATATTGGAGTTCACACATGAGCATCATGTATGCATATAATGAAAATTTTTAAATAAAAAATTTGATAGTACAAGCATTAAAAAATTTATATACACCGATGAGGCTCGTAAGTATCCAAAAATATTAACACATATCATAAAGTATTTCCTTTATACGAGAAACATTCATTCGGGAAAAATATATATATTTGAAGTGTGTAACATGTCTAAAACATTTCCTTATAATAAAAATAACAAACATGATAATGATATCTCCTTTGCGCATGATATATCCACCTAAGATGAAAAATATATTTAAAACATTCCACATATTCTAAATTATCCCATAATATATTTGCATGTGACAAAGAATCATATGTAATACTTGATATATCTAAAGCATCATCTGTTATGCAAGATATGATATACTTTAGGGTAAAAAAAAATTTTACTCTAAAGTATAAGAGGATTGAATGATATAATAATTATTTTTAAATAAACGAGATTCTCGCATATGCCAAATCAGCTGTTGGAGATGACATAGAGCCTATTTCGTTTGCTACATGAAACCCTAAAAAAAATTTATCTCATTAATCGATAATTATAAATATGATGTTATACAAAGCAACCTCCAACATATGTCTTTACTTTGAACTCATTGAACCAAAATTGAGCTTCTAAATTACTTTGAATATTTTTTCCTACAACCAATAAATGAATCTTGACAATCTAAACACATTTGTTGGATGCATCCATAGATTTGTGCATAAATGAGATGAAGAATATGAGATATAATTATTTTTTACCTCCGAGAAAAATTCTCAATCCATCAAATTTTAGATGTAACAACACCCAAAATTAAGGACAGAAGAAAAGGGAAATTAAGAATTGAAGACAACAAACGTTATACTCACCGACTTTGGATATATATATATATATATATATATATATATATATATATATATAGTGATGGTGTCCGGTAACCATGTTGGAGTGTTTCGCTTCGTTACCGAACCCAACCGACCCGACCAAATACGAACACTGCGCGGCGCCCCGAAAGCAAAGTTGTCAGTGGCGTATGGCTCGTTGCTTCCGCTCAGGGCCTTCCTTTCCCCTGGTGAAGCATTTGCCTCGCCCTCCCCTGTCGACGCCTTCCTCCTCGTGCAATCTAGAGAATGAGCGCGCAGATTAGAGCGATGGGGTCTCCGTGCCCTACGGAGCGAGATAATGATGTGAGGTTTTCTTTATGTGTTCTTTGCCTCCGTGATTCGTTTTGCCTCCGAAACAGATTTTATGCGTCAAAGGACTGCCTTTTCTTTTTCTTTCTTTTCCTTCCACCTATTTTTATATTTCTCATTCTTGATAACGTCGATGGTTGGTAGATTCTGACTGAATGCTGATAATCATTCAAAAAACGGATCTTTGATTCAATTTGTCAGTAATTAATACATTGGTCAGAAAATTGTAGCGCCAGAAGTAGAAATTGGTGTGATATTAGGTCAAGTTATTCTGGTTTCGTGTTGTTGCTGAAGAAAACAATGCTATTAGTTCACGGTACATTGGGGTAAGGTTAGTTGGACCATTCTTTTGGGTCATGGTACATGGTAAACTTCTTCTGTGGGTTGCTTGTTACATTACACAAGACATTATAGTCATGCTAGTCATTAGTCAATAGTTTTGTGTCCAATTAGGTTGAAAATATTAGTGGTAGGTGTTAGTAAACCTTTACACCGTGGTTGAGGTGTCAGCACGACTTGGTCATATCCTGGATGCGCAAGGTTGTCCACGAGGATACTCGGGTGATGGAAGCGAGTGTCGGGTCTGGCTAAGTTTGACACTCGTCTCCGAACGTGGTCCTTCTTATCGGTGAGTGGTCCGCTCCGACATCGCCAGGTTCATGCACACAGGTTGAAGTCGGGAGGGGACTTTCCCGATTCAACCCCTCCGAAGATTAAGTAAGTATTAGTGGAGTCTACGGAAATCTCCGTCATGCCGATCAGGGGATTGACTTTATACCTGCAAGTGAGGGTCGGTCGTACGTGATCTGATGTTGACGGCCAACTCCTCAGGCGACTGACCTGCAAGGAACGACACCGCGCGACACTGTTCTGAGCTTTCCGGAGCGATTCTGTACTGTGCGGCGTTGTCTCATATGACTCCGGACGGTGCGGGAGGGGGCGACCGCCCATCCGAGTTCGAGCTGCCACATTGATGCGATGCACCATCTCTGCGCTGATTTGTTTGCTGACTGTGGCTATGGGGGCGATACTAGAATATGCCCTATCACTCTCTCCCTCGTCCGCGCATCCGGTCATCGAGGAGTGTCTTTGGTGGTGGGGGATCTCGCCATCTCATATGGCGCCCAACTCATGGCGTTACCTGGTGGTCTTCCTCGGGGAATGCTGAAGCGTGGGGATCGACCCGACTCGAACGCTTTTCTTGATGTGTTTTCACTTGTGCAAGGGTCGAGGCGGGACTACCTGACTGCTCAAAGTGGCTTCAACGTCAGTGGCACTCCTTGTAATAATAAGGGGTGGAAGGCTCGTCACTTCTTTGTCAGCTACAGTCGGGGATGGGGGTTTAACGTTGGGTGGACCTCCCAAGTCATCAACAATGTTCCCCCATTTCTCTCTTTCGAAGAGGCCGGGCGTGTAGGGTGTTTGAGGGAGATCTTGTCTTCTTCCCAAGCAATTAGGGGCACATCCGAGGAGTGGCTGGTCGAAGTGGGACTCAGCCCGGCCCCGAGGGGTACGACTGAACTTGTAGTCTTTTTAAGTTTTCTTTTTTTTGCTCTTCGTATGTTACTGACCTCGTTGCAACTTGTAGAGATGGTGAACCTAAAGTCGCTGAAGGGGATGCTTCGCTCCTCGGTGATGACGCAACCATCCCGAGAGGGCAACAAGCGCAACTCCGAAGTTCCTGTGAGAAAGAGCACGTCGGTGCGTCAGACGGGGTCTCTAAAGGAGGCCAAGGTGGGTTGGCCAAAGAAAAAACCCAAGGTCAGGACCCGAAAAGACTCTGAAGGCGGTGACCAAGGAGACTGCGGCTCATGGAATGTTCGAGTTGGGTGGCCCCTCGCAAGGCAAGGGCTCGACGAGCGCTCGAGGAAAGGGACATGTTGTGTCTTCAGGTGACGACCCCTCGAGCAGGAAGACGGCACGACCTAAGTCATTTCAAGCCCTCAGCATGGCCGACCTGCCGGAGGGGGAACCAGGGGCGCTCTACAACTCGTGTTGGCTGACCCTTAAGGCAGAGAGTCAGATGTGGGCTAACGAACCGGTGGCCCAAGAATTTTCCTGCGATGCGCTTTATCCGGTCATGGCGAAGTAGTTGTACTGCTCGTTGTCCATGGTGCTGATGGATCAGGTGGTGAAGTCTCTCGTATGGGTAAGTTCGATACTTTTCCCTCCGACCCGAAGGTTGGTTCTAATGTGCTTGCTGGCGCAGAACCAACACTATACCATGGCCCTGATCAAGGTTCGCAATACCGTACCGTACCGGAGTTTCGATCTGGGCTCGGTACCGGTACGGTACGGTATACCGCTCGGTACACCCAGGTGTATCGAGCGGTATATTCAGGCGTGCCGAGCACTGTAGCACTGTAGCACTGCTACATCACTACTACAGTACTGCTACAGTGCTGCTACAGTGTCGGAACGGTAACATACGGTCCGCGTACCGAAAGTCTGTCGGACCGGTACTGCAAACCATGGCCCTGATCGTGTCTATGATGTAGGCTGGGTAATCGAGTGCCTGGGGGAGATGAACTCCGACCTACATCGGGAGGTCGAGGAACTGAAGAACAGGTCCGATCCCGAAGTTGTGGTGGCAGCCGAGCAATGGGACATTGACTTAGAAACTGAGGTCGAGAGGCTAAAGTCCGAGCTGGGCGAGTCACAGTGCCAACTGAAGGAGTGTCGAGGGCGGATTCGGATGTTGGATGACGAATTGCTAACCCTTTCCCGAAATGTCGAAACTGCCTGATCTGCATCACGAGCTGCCGAGGAGGCACTAGATGAGGAACGTTGGGGGGCGTCGGAGATGGCAAAGGAGGCGATCACTGAGTACAAGTGGTCCCCCAGGTTCGAGCTTGGCATGCAGAGGTTGGGGTTGGTGACATATGAATTCAGGTACCAAGTGGCCCTTGCTCGATTTCGGGCGAGGTACCCCGACCTCGAGGTAGAGCAAGATCCCTTCGCCGACCTTCCCGAAGACCAATATATCGAGATGCCTGACGAGGTGCCTTTCGATGACAGTCCTAAAGTTCCCCCGAGTTATGGGGTTGTGTTTGTTTGTTTCTATTTTTTGGCCTTGGTTGGGTCGAGTTTTGAACTGTAAGGCCTTGACTAAGCACAATGTATATATCTTTTACTTAATAACAAGCGTGCTTCCTACATTAATTCTCCAATGTCCTTGTCAATATTTTACCTTAAGGGTAAAATTTTTTCAAATTTAAGACATGACACGTCCTCGATAAGGGGCTTCCCTTTGTGGTCTCGAGTCGGTAAGTGCCGACTTGGACCTCGTCAATCACCTGATGTGGTCCTTCTCAGTTTGGCACAAGGTTTCTCCTAGCTCGGGTTGGGTCACTTCGGTCTTCCGTAGGATGAGGTCTCCAACTTTGATTTGGTGCGGGCGGACCCTGCAGTTGTAGAGGCGGGCTGTGGCCCTTTTATACGCTAGGACACGTAGGTGCGCCTCAGCCCTTTGCTTATCGAGGAGGTCGAGATTGATTTTGAGTCCCTCTTTCGAGGTACCCTCTTCAAAATTCTCAACCCGTAGGGATAGGAACATCATTTCGGGCGGCAGTACCACCTCGGTTCCATATGCCAAATTGAACAGTGATTCCCTCAAGGTAGTTTTGGGGGTGGTTTAGGACGTTCATAGAACGCTCGGGAGTTCTTTGACTCAAGCGCCATGGGCCCCTGTTATCCTCTTCTTCAGGCCCTCCAATATAGCTCGGTTGGTGACTTCGGCCAAGCCATTGGTTTGGGTGCGCGACCAAGCTAAACTTCAATCGTATCCCGTAAGACTAGCAGTATGCTTTGAATTTTATGTTATTGAATTGAGCTTCATTATCGACGATGATGGCCCTCGAGATCCCGAATCGGGTGATGATATTCTTCCAAACAAACCCCTCAACCTACCTCTCCATGATGGAGGCTAATGGCTCGGCTTTGACCCATTTAGTGAAGTAGTCGACTCCAACTATGAGGAATCTCTGCTGCCCCGAAGCAGGGGAAATGGTTAGAGGAGATCCAGGCCCCATTGGGCGAAGGGCCAGGCAGAGTCTATTGGGGCAAGAGGGACCGCGGGCTAGTGCTGTACCCGAGCATGCTTCTAGCACTATTAGCATCGTTGCACGTATGATAGGGCATCTCAACGTATGGTTGGCCAGTAGTACCCCTATGTGAGAATTTTGAAAGCTAAGGTTCGACCACCGATGTGCTCTCCACAAATGCCTTCGTGAACTTCTACGAGGATTGTCTCGGCTTCGAGGGGTGCCAAGCATCGAATGAGAGGTTGGGAGAAGGCTCTATGGTATAGTTTCCCATTAGTTTTGCAGTAGCATGTCTCGATGCATCTAAGTCGTCGAGCAGCGGCTCGGTTGATGGGCAGTGCCCCTTCTCTTTTGTAGCAGGGGATCTCCTCCATCCAACTAAGGGTGGCTTCGATTGTGGCGATGCCTATGGTCGAGACGGTCGGGGTTAAGAGGACCTCGGCCTTTGGGGGAGTCCCTTTGAACCATGGGTGGAGGCCAGTTTGTCCAATGCGTCGGCCTGCGCATTCTCGACTAGGGGTATCCTTGCAATCGAGAGACGACGGAAATGATCGGCTAGTCGCCGCACCTCGGCTAGGTATCATGCCATGGTTGGTTCACGAGCCTTGTAGCTCCCATTGATGTGACCCACGACTAATTGCGAGTAACTGAAGGCCTCCAGGTCTTGCACGTGCATCTCTAGGGCGAGGCGTAGCCCTGACAACAACACCTCATACTCGGTCTCGTTGTTGGTGGCCTTGAACTTAAGTCGAAGTGCATGTTCATATGCTTGATCGTCCGGGCCTCTAAGGACGAGCCCTGCCCCTGCTCCCTCCGAGGTGGCAGATCTATCCACGTACAAGGCCCAAGTATCCCTGGAACGTCCCTGTTCGCCAGGCCACTCGTCGGGTGTTAGCTCGGAAATGAAATCGGCCAATACTTGAGCTTTTATGGTGGCTTTGGGGGCATATTAGATGTTGAACTCCTCGAGCTCGATCGACCATTTTAGCATCCGACCGGATACGTCAAATTTAGAGAGGATCTGTCATAATGGTTGGTCGGTGATTACCTTTACCATGTGGGCTTGGAAGTATGGTCGTAGCTTCCTGGCTGTCTTCACTAGCTCTATCACCAACTTCTCGATCGGAGGATATCGTTCTTGGGGTCTAGCGAGGATGTGGCTGATTTAGTAGACAGGTTGTTGTGTTGCTGAGCTCGCTCATACCAGCACCAAGGTAATCGCTTGTTCGAAGGCTGCCAGGAAAAGGTCGAGTGTTTCACCCGGGTCGGGCGAGGCGGGCCAAGGTAGTCTATAACATTCCTCGTTTCTAAATTTTCGTATAAGTTTCAAACTATAATGTAAGTATCCATTTTGAATTCTATAGAAGAGCCTAAATATAAATCTAAGAACCTATGTATAAAATTTGAGGACCTATTTGTAAATTCTAAGGACCTAATCATAAATATAAATAATACAAAGACTAAACTATAAAATACATAAAAAATAATAAATTCCACCACCTAAGCCTCTCTGCCTTCGTTCCTAAGGAACATGAGAAGGCAACTTGTGTTGGAGAAGAGTGGAAGAGAGAAAGAAGAAAAAAAAAGAAGAAGAGGAGAAATCTAGGGCTTTGGGCTTTTTGATCCCAAATGAGAAGATTTGAGTAACAAGACCCAAAGCCTCATTCAAATTTTACATTCTTTTGAGTTAGTTTGGTGAGAGGTTGTGCAGTTCGAGAGAATCCCTCCATAAATCTCCTATAATAACCCATCATGCCCAAGAAGCTTCTAATTTTTGTCACATTTGTTGGTATTTCCCACTTAACTATAGCTTCCACTTTTTTTGGATCAATAGATATGCCCTTCCCTGAAATCACATGGCCTAAGAAAGCAACTTCATTCAACCAAAATTCATATTTACTAAACTTTGTATACAATCTTTTTTCTTTTAGTATGGATAATATATTTCTCTCAAGTGTTTCTCATGCTCCTGATCACTCATTGAATACACTAATATGTCATCAATAAATACAATTATACAGTCATCCAAAAGTGGTTGAAATATCCTATTTATCAGCTACAGTAATCTTAATCTTTATTTTTATTTTAATTATGAATAATTCGAAAGATTTTATTTTAGCACAAGATATTTCTCTCGTTTAGATAAAAAACTATGAATCTGAAATTTTTCGATAATCTGACCTTTATGCATTGTTTTAGACCTAACTTTTAGTACCGAACTCTAATTTTGGCCAAACCTAATTTATTTAAAAGTAGACTCAAAGATCTTTCTTTTAATATCATATTGAAAGATTTGGAATATAAATATCTACCCAGTTATTTATTGAAACTAACTCTATGAATTCCATAAAATAGAGATTTTTGATATTTGACCTTTGGTTACCAAATCATTTGTAACTCTTCTTTAGAAACTTCAATTTATATGAAACTTATTTTATCTGAAAGTAGATTGAAATATATTTCTAATGATATTTTTCTTGAGTAAATTAGAGCATAATTGATAATTTAAATTATTTGTTCAATGTTCCTCTCAAATTATGTCAGAATCGCGCTTTGGTTGATTTCGCCTATTCTTATTTCATTCCTTTCGACATTGAATTTATCTAGCATTCTTTCTTCAATTAAGCTATATATGATTGCTTAGAATCTTTGTATGCTCTTGCCTTTATTTTCTTTCAAATTTGAATGCAATTGCGAAAGATTATGTTTGCATCGTATTGACTCATAAAGGCACATGTACGTTTCGTTGTTTCGCATCTGCTTCCGATATGTGCTAATTTTATTTTTTATAATTTCTTTTTGTGCTTTGATGTTTATGGGATAATGTGAACCTTTGCTAAAAATGATATCACTCAGACATTGGTGGATGAAGCTCCCAAACGTGGGAGACTTATGTTTGTTGGTCATTCAGAAATGGATGGATCATATTCTGTTATGATCCCACTTTACCTTTTATATGTTTGATATGATATCCAGAGCTTTGGTTATGTGCTTCTATACGTATTTTGGATAAGAATGAAATGAATGCAATGTCAAATATGACGTTTGAGCTTATGTTTCATATTTATTCTTTGATATGTTCCGAAATGCTTCTTATGCCTCTGAGATATTCATACGTCATTGATACGCTTTGAAATATTCTATAAGTCATTAATATGCTCCGAAACATTTCATACGCCATTGATAAGCTCCGAAATGTTTCATTTGTTATTTGATATGCTCTGAAATATTTCATACACCCTTGATATACATCAAAATATTTCATAGGCTATTGATATGCTCCAAAACATTTCACACGCCATTAATATGCTCCGAAATATTTCATATGTCATTGATATACTCCGAAACATTTCATACATCATTGATATGCTATAATTACTCTTTACTCTATTTGTTATGAACCAAATATGTTTTAAATGAAATGTCATTTATGATTCTGTATCTAATGAGATGATATCTATGAATTCTTGTATCCTGCCTTACACTTTGATACTAAGCTAGCTTGAAACTTCTCACTTTGTCATGGATATGTTAGTTGCTTGTTGAGCTTTGTATACTCGCTCCATTGCTATATAAATCTTTCAGGTTAGGTTGTCATTCACTGAGATGTTTGAATTGGGCTGAGATAGTGGAGAGCTATTTATATTTTGGGCAAGCCTTGTCGATTGATATATTATTGTTATTGTATAAGCATATTTTGTATGTAATGAAATATTGTCGGTAGTGGATGATGAACCCGAGAAATTTGTCGAAGCTGACCTTGAAGGCTCATTTCGAAGGGTTCAACCGCATGTTGAATCACTTGAGGGTCTGGAAAGTCTCGGCAAGATCGACCAAATGAATGCCAACCGTCTTGCTTTTGATGATCATGTTGTCGACGTAAACTTCCATGTTTTTCCTGAGTTGTTGCTTGAACATTTCATTGACCATTCTCTGGTATGTCGCTGTGGCATTTTCTAGACCGAAGGGCACTACCTTGTGACAGTATACCCCTCGGTCAGTGATGAAAGTAGTGTGTTCTTGATCCCGAGGTGCCATTCGGATCTGATTGTAGCCCAAGAATGCATCTATGAACGTAAGGAGATCATGCCCCGAAGTGGCATCCACCAGCTGGTCTATCATCGGGAGTGGGTAGCAGTTCTTCGGGCACGCCCGGTTGAGATCAGTGTAGTCAACGCACATTCTCCAATTTCCATTATTTTTCTTGATGAGGACTACATTAGACTACCACCGAGGGTATTTCACCTCGATTATAAATCCAGCTTCAAGTAGGCGATCCACCTCGTTGCTGATTGCTTTTTGTCAGTCTGGGGCGAACTTCCACGGTCTTTGCTTCACAAGACGTGCCCCATGGAGAATGTTGAGATAGTGTTGTGTGACCTCGGGGTCGATCCTTGGCATGCCTTTCGGGGACCAGGCCAATACATCAACGTTCTTCAAGAAGTCGACGAGTTGGACCTGGTCTTTTTCTGGAAGTGTTGTCCCGACCTTAACAACCTTGTCAGGTCATCCTTTTTCCAGGGGGATCTCTATCATCTATTCGGTCGGCTTTGGGTGAGGCAGTATTTTAGTTGTATCTCGGGGGTCCGAGAGGGACAGCTTAGGCCACAGCTTCTTTGGTAGAGTGATCGCTGTCAGGTAACATTGCCGGGACTCCCTTGGGTCACTTCTTACTACTCCGACCCTGACTTGGGTAGGGAATTTCATGGCTCGATGGTAGGTAGAGACGACTGCCTTTAACTTGTTGAGGGTTGGTCGGCCGAGGATGACATTGTACGCGGAAGGTAGGTCGACCACCATGAAGATGATCATTAATGTCTTAGACCTTGGCTCTTCTCCAAGAATGATGGGGAGGGAGGTGGTTCCGAGTGGAGAGATGGAGTCTCCCATAAATCCTATAAGCGTCAAGGCCATCAGGGCGAGATCTCCTTCCGTCAGGCCGAGCTTCTTGAAAACGTCGAAGTATAGCACATCGGCAGAGTTTTCGGTGTCGAGCATCACCCTCTTCACTCGGGCATTAGCGATGCAGAATGAGATTACTATGATGTCATCGTGGTCAGGGAACTCAACCTCTTCGGCCCTGAAGGTAATCTCAGACCCAGATCCCGACCTTGGGCATTTCTCCACCGTGCTGCGGGCGTAGGCCTTCCGTCCCGACGTGCTATCACCTCCAGAAGCCAGTCTGTCGATGATGACATCAATTTGCTTTTCGATAGGGCCACTGGGACGAGGGGATACTTCTCTTGGTTTTTTGAGATAGCACCTAAGGTGTCCTCTACGGATTAGATCTTCGATTTGGTTCTGGAGGTCATGACATTCTTCCGTGTCATGGCCGTATTCTCGATGAAACCTACAATATTTAGATCGATTATTGTGAGTAGCTTTTATCAGGTTGGGCTCCCTTAGGAGTCCCTTCTCCTTAATCCAGAGAAAGATTTCAATGCGGAAAGTATTCTGAGGTAGAGGAGGGGACCTCGGGAGTGATGGCTTGGGTCGATCAGGCCTCCTCCGAGATTGTCCCACAGATAGTCCCGAGGATGCCCCTCAGGGTTGCTCCGTGCGAGGCCTCTTGTTGTCTTCACGTTTCCTCGCCATCAGTATCTTGGCGGCGATGTACTAGTTGGCGTGCTGGAGCATCTCGGGAACAGTTGTGGGTGGTCTTTCAACCAGCGATCAAAAAAACCTTGAGGGCCACAAACCCATCAGGAACGCCTGCATGATCAGGGAAGGATGAGCATCCGGGACTCCTCGGATCTTGGAGGTGAAGCGTGTGACGAATTGAGAGAGAGATTTGTCGTCACTTTGGCACAACCCAAGGAGCGTGGCTATGGAAGGCTTGGCTCGCGAGCTGGCTAGGAAGTTCTGTAGGAATTCCTTTACGAGTTAATCAAAAGATGAGACCGAGGTTGGCTGTAGCCGGTTGAACCACGTCTGAGCCGGTCCTCGGAGGGTGGTGGGAAAAGCCCGACACATGAGGGCATCAGAAGTGTCATAGAGGGCCATTTGGACCTGGAATGCGGCGACATGCTCTGCTAGGTCGGACTCGCCGTCATACATCTCTAGAGTAAGGAGGTGGAAGTTGAGGGGTACAAGCTTATCTTGGATTTCCTGGGTGAAAGGAGATCCTCCCGAGTGGCTTTCTGCGGCCTCATCCCTTGATCTGTGAAATTCTTGTTGAAACTCATCTAGACGTCGATTCACAAGAGACAACTAAGCCCTGAAAGAGTCGTCGGCCGAGTCCGATGACAAGGTATCGAGCCTGGGGAATGGCAGCATGGTTAGGCAAGACATGGGGGTGCTTCGTTCGGGTGCCATTCTTGGATCTCCGATCCGCTCCTCGGTCTCGTCATGAGGAATTGGGGCTCAAGGTGATACGTTGGCTGGAGGAGCGTTGGGGGCCGGCAGTGGGGGAGCCGTCTGTTGGATGAGCTATGGGATGAGCGGGATGATTGTCTGCATCATTCCTGCTAAGGCTTGAACCCGCTTGGTGAGGGTAAGGAATGCCTTAAGTGAGATGACTGGCGGTCCCGAGGCATTTCCAGGGGGGAGGAGGAAATTGAGGTCATTGAATAGGCGTCAGTAGTGATCTGGTGTTTGGGTCATGACGCCCCCATCTTTGTGCGGGATAAGGGGTGGTTGCCCCCCGAGCCCATAGGCGGGGTGGACTGCTAGCTGCTCTTCACTAGAACGAGCTTCAGGATTGACCGTGATCGGACACTCCTGTGACATCGGGCCCTCCTTCTAGTGTCAAAATGTTAGTGAACCTTTACGCCGTGACCGAGGTGTCAGCATAGCTTGGTTGCGTCCCAAATGTGCAAGGTTGTCCACAAGGATGCTCGGGTGATGGAAGCGAGCATCGAGTTGGGCTGAGTTTGACACTCGTCTTCGAACTTGATCCTTCTTATCGGTGAGCGGTCCGCTCCGACGACGTCGGGTTCCTGCACGCAGGTTGAAGTCAGGAGGGGGCTTTTTCGATTCGACCCCTCTGAAGATTAAGTAAGTATTGAGTGGAGTCTAGGGAAATCTCCCCCATGCCGATCAGGGGATCGGCTTTATACCTGCGAGCAAGGGTCGATCGTATGCGATCTGATGATGGCGGCCGACTCCTCGGGCAGTCGGCTTATACCTCTGTGTGTGTGCCGACCAACCTGCACGGAACGACGCTGCATGGCGCCGTTCCGAGCTTTCCAAAGCGACTCTGTACTGTGCAGCGCTGTCTTGTACGACTCCGGATGGCACGGGAAGCGGCACCCACTCACCTGAGTTCGAGGTGCCATGTCGACGCGACGCACCATCTCAGCCTCGAGGCTCCATCTCTACGCTGATTTGTTTGCTGACTATGGTCACAAGGGGCGATACCAGAATATGCCATATCAGTAGGCAACCTAATAACTTTTAACTCGATTATGCTTTTTAATTGTTTAGTTCTTTGCTGATTTAAGCTTTATGTGAATGAACTTTTCATTAGGACTGTACCCCTTCCATGACTAAAATTTGAATTATATTTGTTATATTGAAGTGTCAAATATGGTGATCAGATCACATATCACTGTGTTATGGGGCCACAATTTGCAACATCAGCTTATTTGGATAGAAGACGTTTAGTATTGTGTAAGACAGGTGGTAGCCATTTTCTCGGACCTATAGTTTGAAATTAGTCATAATTGACTGGCACTGATCAAACCCAATCTTAGTTGGCCAATTTCGACCAATTTTGAGTGATCTCATGGCCTCAAAAGAAAAAAAATGAAGAGGGGCAGGAAGGAAGGCAAGGAATAAGAGGAAGTCAAGGTGGAAGAAACATGTAACTATAAATGTGGAATACTGGAGACATTGCTACCATTTCATTTGTTCTTCATCGCAACTATTGTATTTCTTGTCTATCACCATTACAATATTCTCTTTATCCACCACCAATAAAATAGAGGGGATGGGTACAAGCGAGGAGAGAGGCAAAGAGGATCCCTTAAATAGATATGCTATAATAGATAAGAGGGGTATCATGAGATTTGCAATTAAATATTAAATTTTATTGGCACTCTCATCAAATACATTTTTTTCTTTCGTTGCTTTTGCATTGTCTAACACCGCCAATTTGGTGATTAAATAATCTAAAAAGGACAGTCGAGTACAAAAGGCTCCTGCCATTGTGAGATCTGAGAAGGATCAATATATGCAGTTTTACCCATATAGTTAGCCCTCCTTTTGATTAGAGAAGTTCTTACCCAATAATTCTACTGCTGGCCAGTGCCATTATCTCTTTTATTATGCATAATTGCACCAAATAACTTGGTCGACCTTCTTAGGACTCCTTGAACTGTCACCAGCTTGCGTTCCTATAGCTTCTATTATTTCTCGATGGAACTAGTAAATTTAATTCCTTTCAAGTGTTATGTTGGTGTTTATGTTGTAAATCACATAATATTTTCAAATGAATGCTTCCCAATTGCAGGTTTCAGCATGCATGTATTGTAAACTGATCTCCCTCGACTATAGATTTGGAAATAACCCATGTCACGAATCATACACGACAGTGACTTGAAGAGACTAGATCAGAGACACAAACTGTGGTCTACTGAAATGCTGTTGGACTACTATATTCATGAGCTTAGCATACAAATTGAAGTCCTGTTTCTTGTCAGATACAAAATTTGCAAATAGATTTAAATGTATGGTTTGAAACTAACTTTTAGAAGTGGACACTATATTCTTTGAAGTGGTACATGAAGCTGGTTCATCTTTTAAGGTCCATGATAGGTGTGACAGTTCTTTGCATAGTGAATTCACTGAATTCTTATTTCTGTACTTTCTTCAAGACTATCAGGTTATTGAGGACCGAATAATCTTTAGTTACAAGTACTTTGTCTAGTTAAATTCATAGTTTTGGATTAATGGATTATAGTTTTCTATATTCTGCATATTGGATGCATCAAAAAACAGTATGATAACATTCAACATTATAATACAAAGCAAATAGGCCAGTTGAAATCCAAAGCTCATTGTGGCAGGTTGCTGCAACTTTAAGCTAGTCAATCTTGTTTTTTTCCCCGAAATGTTGACACAAAAAATGCACAAGCATTGAGGATGCAACTTCTCTCGTGGTTGCTGATTTCCTTTTTTTCTTCAAGCCAACGCCAGAGTTTGCTTCTTCTTGTTGCTTCATATTGGTTTATTTCCATTGT